AGGAGCCTGTAATCCATGACCCAACCGAGCCCCAACGTTCCGATCCAAACATGAACTGAAATGTTTCATGTGAATGAAGTTGCCACAGAATTTCGCTGAAATTTCAGTATTCCCTGGAGATCTCTCTACAGATCCAAGTTCTCCAGCGTCCTGATTTCTGCACAAACTAATGCAGTGGACCCTGCCCATTACTCTGTTCTGGGTGAATTTATAAGTACACATGATCAGCGCCTAGTTGCCATAATGATGACTGCATTTGTTGTCACGCTGGACCTACCGATCACACGGTTTCACAGCATGACTATGGACGTGGGAATGACAAAGCAAGTGCCTAGCAACTTGCGATGATAGCGACAGCAACGAAAACGGCCTCTCTGCTTTGAGTATTGCAAGTTTGCAACTTGCCTCCGGTTCGTTTGGCTTATAATTCGTACTTTTTCACCGAACGAACAATATTTTTCTCTCACAACAAATCAGCCAACAGTACTTTCAGCCATGGCTTATTAGCCAAGCGAACAGGGTGGTCATTCAAAAAAGCATGGGCATTAAACATATTACAGACACTTTCAGTCTAGTGAGGCCTTAGTTATTTCATATATACAACAAACACATTTTATAGGAGGTGGTGGTTCATCAGTTACATCTGGTGGTTCGCATCTGGAGAACAGCGGGGGGCACGAACCAGGCCCTAGGAGAATAAACCCAGCCCAGCCCAAAAGCCCAAATATAGTTATATGGTAATGCTGCAGAACATACGGTCAGAATCTTAAAAAATCATATGCTCTGCTCCGCGCTCGCTCCAACACAGCAACCGGCCCAACAGGTCCATCTACGCTCTCTCCTCTATCTACCCCGTCTACACTGCAACAGTCGACAGAAATCCCCAACTCCTCGCTTCGCTCGCCATGGCTCACCGCGCCGTCCGCCCGCCCCAAGCTGCCTCGCGGCGGCATCCCCATCTCGCGTCGAGCCACGCCACGTCTGCCACTGCGCCGTGCTCCATCTCTCGCCACGCCCACTCTGCCTCGTCGCGTCGTGCCCCGTCCCTAGCCGCGTCGAGGTGCTGCCGATGTCACCGTTCCCCACCAAGAGGGCGTACCGCTGTCGACGCTGGCGCCGCGCGGTGCTCGACCTCAGCTCGCGACATCACAAGATCCGGAGTGGCTTGACCCGTAGCGAGCTTCTCCGACAGCACCTCGCGCTCCCTTCTTTCCTCGGATGTTGCAAGCGTATGTTTCAAATATTTCAGGTGTTTTATGTGGTGTTGCAAAAGTAGATCGGGATGTTGCACATGTTGTAATGGCTATACAAGTATGTTGCAAGCGTCTGTTCCAAATGTTTCAGACAGATGTTGCAGTGTTTTATCTGGGTGTTGCATATGTTTCACACTTATGTTGCAAGTGTTCTATCTCGGTGTTTCATATGTTTCACACTTATGTTGCAAGTGTTTCATCCGGATGTTGCATATGTTTTTAACACGTGTTTCCCTCGTGTTTCAGACATATGTTGCAAGTGTTTCAACTGTTTCGGACGTATGTTGCAAATGTTTTTTCTACATATTGCAAAAGTAGATCTGGTGTTGCACATGTTGCAGTGGACCCCATCTGCAGCAACCACCTTCTGCGGCTACTGAGCCCGCCTACATGCGTGTGGGTGTGGAGGGGGCACGAGCGGCAGACGTGGGAAACCGTGCAGGCACAAATCGAAACGGAGCGGGCATGGGACACAGAGCGGCGTGGGCCCCACGTGAAGCAGGCGTGCGCGTGGGGGCATCTAGACGCTAGCCCCTATCCGGACGTCCAGGCGCTAGCCTTTCCCATAGTTCTATGGGTAGGTTGGACCTGGTCTCCATTACTCAGCAAACATGATGGCTCACTCAAACATTTCTGTCGATACTTGGCTAAATTATATACAGTCATAATTTGAACTCGTTAACCCAAAATTAGTGGTGTAAACTTTTAAGTTCCCTCCAATTAACTAACTTTTATCTTGTCCCACACACGTTGTTATAAAATATCAGTAATCAACAGTTCAAGATTAGAGCAGGATAATTCTTTTAGGGGCAATTATGTATTTGGCACTGGAACGAATCAGTCTTCTTTATTTAGCACTAAAAATTTTAAACTTTCTTATTTGGCATCGAGTTAAAATTTTCTTCTGTAAATGACACTTCCGTCCATTTCCGTCGGTTGACTGCGTTGGCCCTGTCATGTTTCTTTCAGAAGTACCAAAATGCCCCTTCTCTTCTTTGACACTGCTTCGTTCCGTGCAGACCTTGTTTGACACTGCTTCGGTACTGAGTACTGTGGCAGACTGGCAGTGAGGTGGAGTGCCGGTGTGTATCGTAACGGACTGCCAGAAATGGGAGGCTCCGACGACCACGCCCGCGAGACGTTGTCCCTGCCGTGGACGGTGCGCGTCCAGCTAGCCACGCTCGCGCTAGCGCACCGCTGGGACGGCAGCGTCTGGCACCTTCTCTTCTCCCTCGGCGAACTCAAGTCTGGTGCCACGTCCCGCCCGGACGCCTCGGGTGTGCGCTCCGCCGATGTCACCATCGACGCCTCCCGCGGCCTGTGGGCACGCGTCTTCTCCCCCTCACCCGCCGTGGACGCGGACGCGGACGCCGAGCCGGCCCCCGTTCCTGTCGTCGTCTACTTCCACGGCGGTTCCCCGCGGCGTACGACGACGGCGTCGCGGAGCTCCGCTACCTCGACGCCAACGCCGGGTTCTTCCAGTGGCAGATGTGGACGAACCACCTGAGCGCCGCCATGAGGCGGAAGAAGTGGGCCTTGCTGCGCCACATGCTCCAGTGGTGCGAGTGTGCCTCGCAGAGGTGCTCGACGCACTCCCACCGCAGCGGCGGGTCCATCCGGCTCAGCCGGTGCGCGATGAGCGTGACCGCCTCCCGCCGCAACGTCTCCTGATGCACGATGGACAGCGGGCAGTGGTAGTGCATCGGCGGCAGGTGCAGCTACGCATACGTCTGGAGCAGGCCCAACGTTGACGTGCTCGAGAACCGCACGGCGAGCTGGAGCTCGCCCATCTTCTTGATGCCGCCGCCGTGGAGGGAGATGAGAGGGTACGCATGCGTGTAGATGCGGCCGGTCTCGAGCGTTGACAGCCGGATGCGCACCTTGCCGAGGAGGATGTCCTTGACGGGGTCGCCGGACATGAGGCCACCCTTCTCGCCTATCTGGCAGTTGTGGAAGACGACGACGGTGAGCACGGTGCAGTGGTCGTGCACGCCCCAGAAGCGTTGCTGGTGGAACCGTGGCGCGAGGCTGTCGATGACGGTTTGCGTGCGAAACCACTTCACGCCGTACTTGGCCACGCAGTAGGCGTCGCAGGAGCCTCGCCCGTCGTGCGTGCGCATGGAGCTTAGGCCGAACGCGTTGTGGATGCCGAGCTCGATGAGGCCAATGGGCGGCCGGTGGCACCACAGCTCCCTCGCCGCTGGGTTCAGAGATGACGCGATGCCGCTGGAGCTCGACGCGACGCCGGTCATGTCGCTTCGGGCGTGGGATGAGCGGCGGCTATGCTACGCAAAACGCGGCCTCTTCTACGCGCAGCAGTAGCACGCGGGTGAGCGAAGCTCGCGGCCTGGGCGGCATGCGGAGGACGCGGCCGGCGTGCTGCTGCTGCTTGCCCGCATGACTGTGCTGCATGACGTCGGAGCTCCCAGACCGACGTGCTGCTGCTTTCCCGCATGGCCATGTGGCCACCGCCGCGGCGGCTCGCCTGCTCCATGCCGTCCGCGTGCTCCATACGCCGCCCAGTTCGCTCGCTTCGCGCCGGCCGCGTCCTTGGCGCGCCGCCCAGGCCGCGAGCCCCGTGCGCCGCCAATGGCGAGCAGCAGCAGCAGCACGTCGGGCGAGCTCCGCGACGGCCGTCGATGGCGAGCAGCAGCAGCATGTTGGGCGAGCTCCTCGAAGACCGCGTGCTCCGCGCACCGTGCGCCGCCAAGGCTGCGAGCTCCGCGCGTTGCCCGGGCCGCGTGCTCCGCCGGCCACGTGCGCTCGGCAGCAAACGCCGGCCGAGCCATGCATGGTGTGCTTTGCTCTTGAGCCATGATGTTATGACAACGGCATATACTCTTCTTTTTTTTTAAAAAAACTAAAAGATAAATACCTTGAAAATATAAGTTACATATTTCAACCAGCAGTCATCCCGAGCCATGCATCCTTGATCTGTGGCCGAGATGAAAGGAAGAGTGAGGGGCATAATCTGTACCTGCTATTACCAATTTGAAATTTATTAATTATTTATTTGAAATCTTCAATTATCAAAAATCCACATTTTAGTTCAAAGTATATTTATGATATTTATGATTTTCTTATTTGACAACCTGTCTATTTATTTTTTTCCTATTTAGCAACATTGACTTTTGCTATGATCAAAGGTATTTATGTCATTTTGCTAGCCACTTAACACTGTTATCGGTGTAAATGGACGGCAGTACCATTTACGAAAGAAAATTTCAACTCGATGCTAGATAAGTAAATTCAAATTTTCTAGTGCCAAATATAAAAGACCAATTTGTTTTAGTGCAAAATACATAATTCTCTCGTTCTTTTCGTGATACAAATCAAATTCTAATCCATAAATTGAAACCGAAACACAAAGGCACCTCAATCTCCTCCTGAAGCTCCCTTCCCTATCTACCATCTCTATTATCTCTATTATAATGGACCAATCAAAATTATACTAGGTCCTTCCAGAAAACGTTCTCCACTGAGAGCTTCCAACTATTATGCATCCAGAAAAATACACACATGAATTTATCTTCATTAAAATCAAAGACTAATAAAACAACTAAATCAAATCTAATGGCTATGATTCGATATGGATGCCAGGCTTCTCACGCACACCCCGCAGGCCGTCATGTGTTGCGATCGAGTGTGCCATGATTGGCGCGACGCACACAAATCACCAGCCCATCAGCGGCAAAAGCGGATTAATCAATTGCCGAACTGCGTGAGCCGAATCTGGCGCCTGATTGAATGGCCGCTGACATACCGCGCACTTGCGCGACACGGCCTATTCTATTCTACCGCCATGGACGCGATGCAGCGCCCATCATCAATCTCGGCGCGGTCAGAATTGGCATTCCTTAGCCGAGGCCCGAGACCCGATCGTCTTTTACTTTCTGTAGATGCACCAATTGTTTGTTGCTTTTCAGCTTCAGCGCATACACAACCCACCTAAAAAGCCGTATCAGAATCATCAGACGATCCTGCTAAAAACCGCAGCTTTTTCCATACTCTGCTGTCCATATTCCAAACCTTTTTCGAGTCGGTTAGGTAATCTGGCAATTGCAGTTCTAAAGAAATCTGAACTGGACCGTGAGCTGACCGGGTGTGCTTGTTTGTTGGTTGGCGCGCGCAGGTGGGACCCGAGGAGCTCGGTGGTGACCCCGGACGAGGAGGTGTTCTACCTGGTGGCGTTCCTGCGGTCGGCGCTGCCGGGCGCGCCGGAGAGCCTGGAGGCGCTGGCGCGGCAGAACCAGCGGATCCTCGACTTCTGCGCGGAGGCGAGCATTGGCGCCAAGCAGTACCTGCCCAACCACAAGGCGCAGCACGAGTGGGCGGAACACTTCGGCGCCGCCAGGTGGGAGCGGTTCGCGAGGCTCAAGGCCGAGTTCGACCTGCGGGCCATCCTGGCCACCGGGCAGGGCATCTTCCGGCCGCCCGGCTCGCCGCCGCTCGTGGCCGACTCGTAGCCGTGGATACATATGGGCTGTTGATGGTGCTCGAGCTGCTAGGTGCATTACTAATTAATTATTAGGTGCGTTTAGTGTAGGTATAGTAGCTACAGCAGTAACCATACAGGATTATTTAGTTTTTTTTTTGGTAGTCTCTCCTATAATGGATCAATCAAAATTATACTAGGTCTTCTCGGAAAACGTCCTCCGCTGAGAGCTTCCAACCATTATGCACCCAGAAAAATACACACAGAAATTCATCTTCATTAAAATTAAGGGATAATAAAATACCTAAATCAAATCCGATGGCCACGATTCGATGTGGGATGGCAGGCTTCTATCGATGTTTTACCACCGATAGTCTACCATGGGAGTACCCGGGACAGTTGTTCGGGCTTCGGCAAATAGCGGAATTCGGCGGTTACGCAAAGAGACTCACGATTTATACTGGTTCAGGCCCTCGACTTGGTCGAGTAATAACCTTACGTCCAGTTTTGGCATTAGCTTGTTTGCGTTGTATTGCTTTGAGTATCGGGTATGCGTTCTCTCCTTACAATGGGTACCCTCACCAGCCCTTTATAGTCCAGGCGCTGAGAGGCGTTGTTTGCGTCCTATTCGGATACAAGGTCAGAGTCCTAAGCTACACTTCGGGCGCCTTTCCTTGTATAGTTTGCGTTGGAGTTTCAGTTTTGCACGTTGCTTTGCTCCGCGTTCTTTTTGGCGATTGGGTTGTAGGCCTTGTTACCAAGGGCTACCTCCCTGCAGTATGATCTATGGGGGGCCCGTAGGGTTCCCCATCGACAAGCCCCCGAGCATTTCATGATTGAGCTTCAAGGGCCGAGTTGTTGTAGTCTTAATCCGGGTCCTTCTTGAAGTGAAATCTTGAGATGGTCTTCTTTGATTCTTTTTTTGGCTGATGTGCACTTTTGCTTGATGTCCTTCGGGTTCTTTTTCCTTTGAGTGCAGCGAGTGTAATTTTGCAAAAATTGCACTCATTGAGTGTAGCCCCCGAGCCTCTTATTTTTTTGGTAAAAAAAAGCTGGAGGGTCAAAAAATTTAAAAATATGTTTTTCTGTGGTAGGTACTTGCAGTCCCCGAGCTTTCTCCGGGTTATTTTCTGTTGAAAAGAAGCGGAAGAAGGGTCTTGATTTGTACTCCTCTGGTCTTTGTCTTTTGCTGGTCACGGATGGGTTTTGTATAGCCATGAGTGAGCGTCTTCTTTTACTTTTTGTCAGGAATCTTACTTTTGGGCACTATTCGCCTTTGTTGCTTTGCTCTTTTGTTCTTTTCCTCTCTCTTTCTTATGATCTTTAGCCTTGTTTACCTTTGGTTTGCTATAAATACCTTCTTTGTTGGTTGTGGTTCTGCCTTGAGTAGGAAAATTCTTCTTCAATTCTTTCTTCATTCGTAAATATGCTGGTGTGTGAGGTTGAGCAGCCCCCGGTCTTATGCTTGGTTGGTAATGATCATGCTGCTCTATCTGTTCTTCTGCGTCTGAGCTGCCGCTGCTGTCGCCACTAGGTTCCTTGTTGCAATATTTAAGAATCTTGTCTCTATCTTATGTCTGAGTTTATCCGGTCCTGTTTGGCCGTCTGTAACCTTTGTATTTGTCTTCGATCAATGAGATTTATAATTTTTCTCCGTCCGAGTTCTTTTTCAACTGTAATCCTTTGACACTGTAATTTTGTATGTGATCCTTCACACGTCTCCGAGTTGTTTGTTCGGCTGCTTATTGCTGCTGTCATTCTGGTTGTTGGAGAATTCAATGTGTCTTCACGGGTTGTATTGCTGCTGTGGAATATTCTCTTGGATATGCTTTATCTTGTACTGTGGTTATTCTGGGTATGTACTGTTCCTTTGTGATGATCTAGTCACATCTGATTTTTTACTGAAGTCCTGGCTCTGCAGTGGTTCACATGGTTGTCCTTTTGGAGTTCTTTTTTCTTCTATGAGTCTGGCATATGTGCATCTGAGTTGTGCTATAAATATGGCCTGTTGCTGATACCCTGCTGTGTAGTTTCTTCTTCTTCTTTTTGTAGTCATGGATATTATAGTTTGGGAGCTCGACGAGCCCCCGGGCCTGTTCTCTTTCTTCTGTTTTCTTCTGCTAGTAAATGGTGTAGGTCTTGTGATAGAGACTAGTAGCAGGCTAGTCTCGAGGTGGTATTTAGCTGTAAGGGATATTGAGGCAAATGGTGTAGGACTTGTGATGTGAGTGATGCATGTTGCGTTGCGTCATCTTCCAGTGCATGCCCTTTCTTTTTTGTTCTTCTTACAGTGATGATTGACGCGTGTTCCGGCTTGTTCTTTGATAGTCCGTTGTAGATCAGCCATTATTCAGTCTTCTGCTATGCCATTTAGGTTCAGTCCAATACAGATCAGCACGTGTTGAGAGATGGTGCGGGTTCTTCCATATTGACGTGGTTGTCGTTGTCAATCTTGGATGACTTGTGGGTGCCTTCTCTGTCACCTATAGCAATCTTGGATGTGCGCCCTTCCTTTGGAGAAAAGTACGTTCGAGTTGTTTTATCCTGCCTGGTAATATCGAATCTTGGTTCGAGGGTTGCAACCTCGTGCTGAATGATTTCCTTTGATTTCTTCGTCGAATTCATCAGATCTTGTATTCTGTTGTAATCTCAATGTACCTTTGATGAAATGAAAAAATATTCCTTTCTGCTCTGTGACCGAGTTGTTTATTGATGTGGCTGAGCTCTTTTGTATGTTTGTACTGTGGTGTTTTGTCATGACTGACTTGTTGCATCCTTCTTTCCTGGTTGCCTCCTTGTGAATGTGTTAATTCGTCATGTATCCGTTATAGTCTGAACGGACCATTGCCTTTTCGTTTTGTGTGCACGATAATTGTGGAACGGTAACTTTGAAGGGCCTCTTCGGGACAATCCGCGTGATTTTGGGCCTCGTGGGCCGCGTATTTTTCTTGTATAAAGATAACTGCTCTGTTACTGTTGGCTTAACTTGCCTTTGCAGTAAAAATTTCCCAATCTCAGCCAAAACCCTAGCTCCGTTGTGCCTTCAATCTCCTGCTATTTTCGTCCAAATCTTGTCTTTGTTTTTCTGAGATGGTGGCGAAGAACAAGAGCAAGAATAAGGGCAAATCTGTCGACGAGGAGGCGTCGCTCAAGGTGATCGAGAACACCGAATTTGTTGCGATGCGGAAAATGCAGAGGCAACTCCCCAAGCCGTCGACTTCGGAGGCGGAGTTGGATCTGCTTGTTGCTCATGGCCTTCTTCAGGAGAAATGTCTCTCTAATTTCTCTGGTCCTGGTGAGCACGATGTCCCTTCTCCCACTCCGAATCAATATGTTCTTTTTGTTCCTTTTGTGCGGGCGGTGTAACAGAACCGACCAATTATACGAAATTAAGTAAGAAAATCATCCGTTAGAGCAGACGATTGAGCAAACTTAAGCCCGTACAACCCGGTAGTCCGTGAAATCATGAAGGATTTCAAACCAACTTCCATTCCAGCCAAGATCGTAATAAGTTTAGCGGTCACCATCACATATTACATAAAAGTTCGCAATCTCAGATACATCAGAGTTTAAACATAGTTATTACAAAACCAGTTCGAATAAAAGTAGCGGAAGCCAATTGTTCAACCACTCACTCACGCGGAGTTCAAATATAGTGTCAGCGAATGATCATCTCCAACAAAAGCATTAGACGAGACGTAAGGAATGACCATGCCCATGGTCCTAAGCATCACCCATCGCAGGATAAAGGCAGTTGATACAATAGCCGTAATACATCTGCCCATCTGCAACAAGTGGGAATAAAACCCTGAGTACGAGAAGGTACTCAGCTAGACTTACCCGACATAACCGAAAATAAATGACACCAAGGATTATGAAGGCTTTATAGTAGGGTAGCTGACTCATTTGCAAAAGAAGCATTTTTAGCATTTCAAGAACCTTTCTAAAAGCATTATTGCCAAGTTAATTATTATGAACCTGTTGACTAGATTTGCACCTATACTAGAGTAAACATGTGATTAAGCAGATAATGATAACCACTGATCATTAAACAACTTCCATACTCTCATATTCACTATAACTGTCCAAGTGTTCCATAACATTTACTACGATGAAGTAACTCAAGTCAAGTGCTCACTATCCAGGAGCGATGGCGATTCGAATCGATTCCTAACCAGCTGGTGATTTATTCCTTACACAAACCTCACTCATCCGCTAAAGTGAGATATTGATCACCGAGTCAACTTTCCAGGAATCTCGAGTTTGCCAGGAACCACATGTACCCGGGGGCCGACTGACTGCACTTTGGTCTTATCATCCCGCCCCTGTGTCCTACCACACCTGCTCCGGCACAGTGCGTTGCGGGTAATCTACTCGGCCCGAAAAACCTCCCAGCTTCGCGGTCGGAAGGTACTTTATCCGGCCAGCTAAATGTAAGGCATGCGTTCAACATGACTCGAGGCCCAACAACGGCCGGTCCTTAATCGACACAGACGGAAAACACTACAGTCCAAAACTCTGCAAGTCTCCGTCCGGTCTCAACTTCATTTAACACTTAGTTATACCATGACTTCATAGTCATCCAAGCAGATCCAGGTAACCACGTATAGCTCGCAGGTGACAGGAAATCACCCGACTTCTACCGGTCTAAGCCAGCTAAGCATTGACTCGACTGCGGATACCAGGGTAACAAGGATATAGTATAACAAAGGTAAACAAGGTATAATGCAGCAACAGTTGCAAACAACTCCTGAACGTAATGCATCAATTTAAAGTAAAGCATTTAATGAAATCATTGCAAACCGGGAGAAAGATGCTCCGGGGCTTGCCTCTCTCGAAGGAGCTCGGACGGTGATCGGGGCACTCCGGAAGTTCCTCAACGTCCTCCTCGTCGGCTTCTGGCACTTCCTGCTGCTGCACCTTGAGCTGCTCCTCGGGCTCCTCGGGTATGACGACTGGGTTCTCGGTTTGCGATCCTGTATGATGCAATGCGCGTAAGTGATTATGCAAACGGTGCATCGAAAGAGATGA